GTGGCAGCTTAGTGGTTAGGGCATTGAGCTTGAAATCCAGAGGTTCTAAATTCAAGCCCACCTCCCACAGACTGCATCTCTGGGTCCCTGAGCAAACCAAAGGCGTAGGTTTGATTTCAACTTTGGTAGGGACACAGTTGCACTGATGTCATTGGTCCTATGCAAATATGCATTCTTGTTTTTTATGCTTAACAAGAAAATGAGGGTGTATTTCGTTTAAAGAGAAAAGCAGCATTTCTTGCTACATTTATACAAACTTTATAAACACTACACACACTAGATGCCTTTTTTTCAATGACTGAAGCTTAACTGGCTCTTATGAATAAGGAATTAGGACTTTTTTCCACTTTGGAAAGATTTGCATTTGAAATTACCAGCGACTAAGACACTAGGTAAATCTGGGCCTATTTAACAGAATATAGTCTAAATATGTCTGCTATATGTGGATTTATACTTTTTTTATTTTGAAGATATAGTAAACAGAGGTAAAACCCACTCTTATCTTTTCATTTTTCTCTTTGTATCATGAAACAAAGCAAAATAATAAATTCAAGGGACGCCAAAATAAATGTATTGCATTTACATGAGAACTGGAAATAGAAGAGGAACTGACACTGAGCATTTAATATATTAACTTTACTCTACAAGTTGTACATCTAGGCTGTAGTTACTCTGTTTAACCCATTTCATGTATTTTATTTATGGCTGAAACAATTCATTGGATTAATCAATTATTGGAATAATGTCAACAAATTTAGTAATTGATTAATCCTTAACTGGAGTGTAGAGACTCTAAACATGCCTTTAGCTCACAAAGTGACCCACTTAGAGCAGGAATAATACCAAAATTGTAAAAACAAAAATAAACATTTTGCTTTTAGATAAAACATGTGTCGAGTAAAAAAAAATAAAAAATTTGCACTTCGAAGGAAGAAAAGGTTTCATTTTACTCTGCAGAGGAGAACAATATGACCAGCTGAATGCAGCTCTCAGTGTTGATCTGAGGCTGCAGCATCCCAACCCCTGCATAAAAAAAGGGGACTCCCCACACATTAACATTTCCCAAGAGAAACACTTTAGTTCATCAAAGGACAGAGATGACAATTGTTTTCTAATTACACCAGGACGTGAGAATCTTGACATGTTTCCCTCTTATCTAACCTAGGGGGAAACTTCCTTTCAAACCTCCTTCTTTTCCTTTCATCTCAACAAGGCTTCTAAGAAATCACTCCTATCGGTCTCCGCCAAGTGACGTCAATTGTTTACCTCGGGCGCGGTACACCATGCCTTT